TCCTCAAACAGTTGAAATTAGAGCTACCGTTCGATCCAGCAATTGCACTACTGGGTATTTACCACAAAGATACAAATGTAGGGACCCGAAGGGGTACATGTACCCCAATGTTTATAGCAGCAATGTCCACAATAGCCAAACTGTGGAAAGAGCCAAGATGCCCATCGACAGATGAATGGATAAAGAAGATATGGTATATATACACAATGGAATATTATGCAGCCATCAAAAGGAATGAGATCTTGCCATTTGCAACGACGTGGATGGAACTGGAGGGTGTTATGCTGAGTGAAATAAGTCAATCAGAGAAAGACATGTATCACATGACCTCATTGATATGAGGAATTCTTAATCTCAGGAAACAAACTGAGTGTTACTGGAGTGGTTGGGGGTGGGAGGGATGGGATGGCTGGGTGATAGACATTGGGGAGGGTATGTGCTACGGTGAGCGCTGTGAATTGTGCAAGACTGTTGAATCACAGATCTGTACTTCTGAAACAAATAACGCAACATATTTTAAGTAAAAAGGAAAAGAAGAAGATAACAGGAGAGGAAGAAAAGGGGAGTATGTCAGAGGGGGAGACGAACCATGAGAGATGATGGACTCTGAAAAACAAACTGAGGGTTCTAGAGGGTAGGGGGGTGGGGGGATGGGTTAGCCTGGTGATGGGTATTGAGGAGGGCACGTTTTGCATGGTGCACTGGGTGTTATGAACAAACAATGAATCATGGAACACTGCATCAAAAACTAATGATGTAATATATGGTGATTAACATAACAATAAAAAAAATTGAAAAAAAAAAAAAAAAGGGATGGTTTGTAACCTCACACCAAGATACACATGTCCGAAGTGCACCCAGGACTATTTCAAACAGCTGTTTTTGGCATTGAGCTAAATTTGATGCAGTTTGTCTCAAGACTACTCTCAGTACCATTTTAAGTGACAATACAGCTGGAGTACCATCCAACTTGTATTAAACTCTCCTTTTCAAAATGTGTAAGTAGAGACAGAAATACTGATTTGATATGAAATGTACTCACGTGCCAGGCGTTATATCTAATAGCTACTTTTCCAATGTCATGAAATTTTACATATTTTATAGAATTTTTTGTTACTTGAAAAATAATCACTGTAAAAGCAAGAATGAAGTCTTTTAAATTAGAAAATTGTGTCTTTTCATTATATATATAAGAATTTGTTTACTTTCCAGAGCAGGGATCTGCAAAGTATGACCCCTGGGTTAGGTCTGGCCTGTGGACCCTTTACCTTTTTTATACCTTTGATGAACTAAGAATGGTTTTTTAAATGGTTTAAGAGATATGAAATAAAGCCGAAGGAGAATTTGTGAGAAAGACCACATGTGACCTTCAAAGCTTAAAATATTTACTATGTGACCCTAGGGAGAAAAAATTTATAGACTTCTGTTCTAGAGTAATTCTCTAACCCTTACTTGTATTTACAGTATGTTTTAACAAAATATTTCAAAAGAACAAGAAGATTTTCTCCGTTCTTCCTATGACATTTTGGTGATTCTATATCGTCATAATAGATGTAATTCCTTCCCATTAACACGTTGATCTGTCAAATTACCATGATTTATAAAATTAGAGGCTTTAACTTCATATTTTTGTAGCTATTTCTCTCACTTCGGACCTAATTTTCTCAGTACATTTTGTTTTAAGTGTGCAAAATGAATGTTGACTCTGTATCTGCACTGGTACTAATGTATACATTTTAAAAGGCTGAATTTAAGCCATAATTTTGCCATGGGGACTCTAAATAGACATACCAGCCTTCTAATAGATCTGGGGAAATGCTGAATTTTTATTTATGTCTTCAGGTGACAAGCCGTGATGGATGGCCTGACAAGGTCCCATAGTCTAGCTTTGCACTGCCAGGGAAATGATCGTAGCATCGGGCTGCCAGTTTAGTTATCAACAGCTAGCAGCCTAAAGGCAGCAGTTTAAAAGTCATTTGTCTGCACTCTAACAAGTACATTCTATTGTGTCATTTATTCAAGTAAGCATAATTTTATAACAAGTTGTTAAAGGCCCTTTTGTCAACAATAAAAGTCTCTTTTCCTCATATGAACAGTCCTAATAACTGAATATCTTGAAAATTGTATACTCTATTTAAAATCAAAGCAAACACTTCACTAAAGATTGTTAAAGTAATTAGTGTGGCACAGATTTTTGTTATTCTGCCATCAAATCCTTCTTAAGTAATATTTTTTTATCACAGAAATTGCTCATTTAAAGTGGATTATTGCTCTCTCTCTTATCGTGAGGTGAAGGCTGTCATCCTGTGTTGTTGTCAGGGAATGCATATTTCCAAGAGGAAGGTATCTAATTTTAGCAGTCATAGCTAAAAATGATGTTACTGTTAGTTGTCAGAGAAGTGATCATTAAGGAGTCTATTTTCTCTTTGATGCAAGCAGTTCGGATCAACTTTTCAAGGCACTTCGAGTTGCCATGAATATTCCTCCAATTTTCACCTCATTCTTGCTACTGTCTTATCAATGTCATTTGTTATGAATGTAATACAAATAATAATAAAAAACATTGTTCTTGTTCACTTTTTCCAGATCTATCTTTTCTTAAGTTGATTACTTTTTAAAACCATTTGTGACACTTCTTTTAAACTGATTAATTTTAATAGGAAACCCTATTTTCATGTTTGTGCTATTAACATTCTGTGTGTTACATGACTTTCCTAAATACAAAAACATCTAGATTTCAATGTATTTAAATCTTACTGACAGGAAGCTTTTGCTTTATTTCCATGAGGAATATGATGGGAAAATATTTGGGTTTAATTTGGTGCTTCCAACATCCTATATCTGAGCTTAATACAGTAATCAGCTGATTATAACTTTCTTTTAATTTTGTCCTCAGGAGTCTCAACCATTGGGTCGAAACTAGGCATCATATCTGTATTGTATTGTTCATAAAAATACTAATTTATAGCACATTTTTCTATAAAGTAAATGTAACTATATAAAACAAGAAAAGAAACCAATTGAAAAGAGTTTTCATAGAGACATAAAAAATATCTGAAAAATTTTGACATAACCTCCAGAGTGTAACAAATAAAAATAATATTGAATTTAAGACGGAGATGAACAGCTGTTTTCTCTTTTGCTCTTTAATGGAGACTGCTAGTAATATATTTCTAAGCCTAATACAAAGACTGAACCTCGTTCTCACTGGGTTTCAAATGACATTTAGCTGCTTGAGAGATCCTGCGCACTCCGCCACCTCCATGCACAGAGGAGCTTTGTTTCTCTGGCTGATGGGTTCCATAGGAGATACTTTTGATCTGAAGATTACTATCATCTTTTGTAGAGATCTGACTGGTGGTCGTGGAGCTGCAGAGTTGAGAAGGCAGAATGGATTCAGTTTAGTTTTTGGCTATTGTGTCCCCAAGGGCCCCCTGACCTACTCCGGGCTACATCACGGGCAACGAGTTGTTCTGTTATATTTTCATGTACACTCTCACATGGAGACTGATCCTTCACATTTCCTTCGTTTCCCTTACTGTCTACCCCCGAAGACTGCCATCTATTTGTTATGTTATGAAGATTCTTTCTATATTGTAGCATACATTTCTCTTATTAGCTCAAGCTAAGCTATCAGGTATTTAAAATTAAGTTCCAGTTTCTGACATATCTGCCTCTATTGAGAAAAACAAAGGTATCCAAACACTTTTTTAAATAATGGGGAAACACACTGTTAGTTACAAGATAAAGTGTTCTTTATCTCAGTAGAACATCCAAGGTTAAACAGGGCTCTTCTCCTACAGGTGGGTAGCACACAGATGATGGCACCCTGTAGAGGTGGGTAGCAAAACGTGAAGGAAAATATGTGTAGAAAGCAAATGTGCTTTGGGATGGTCTAGAAAATATTACAGACAAGAAAAGCTAGTGGGACCTTGGGAGCTCACATGAGAACAAACAAACACAATATGGGACTCCATGAATACTAACAGTCCGACTTTATCCTGGACCATAAGCCCAATTCCTCGGTTTTAAGAGGTAGGTTTGCTCAGTGAGACAAAGGCAGCTACTTTTGCAAGGGAAAGCATCCAGTTGAGAAAAATCCAGTCTTCCTTTACCGAAACACTGTATTTGGAATTTATCAGATGTAACATGCTCATAATACTCAGTGTGCCATAGTAAAGGTAGGATTCGAAAGAAAGATATAGGCTCCAAGGGAAACTGGAAATAATTCTCTGGTAAGTAAAGAAAAGTTTAAGATACTGAGAGAGAAAAGTTGGGGATCTTGGTAAGTGAAATAAAAATGCCTCTCCTCCCATGAGAATCATCTGAGGTTCAACATCGGGGATTAGTGAAGGAAGAGGAATAGTTCAGATGTGTAATAGTTTAGAACTACACCTATTTTAGGGTGTGCAGTATAAGCATCAGATAGGAGTAGCAAAGAACCCCTAAGACTCCTCACATGCAATTCCATCCCAAACTAGAGCGTGATAAGATCAGGAATGAGGAAGCATGTGAGAGAAAAAAAAAAATTTAATTCGTACTTCCAATTAAGCAATTCTTTGAAATTTGTTTGTTTGTTTGTTTGTTTTGCTTAGTTGAAAGCCATTCTTTTACCCATCACTGAATAACAAAGTACTCCAAAACATAGTGGCTTAAAATAACAACAAATTTTTATTTTATCTCACAGTTTCTGTGGGTCAGGAATCCAGGTACAACTCAGCCGTTCTGGCTCAGTGCCTCTCACGTAGTTACAATCAGGCGGTGGTTGAAACTTGAGGAGGGGAAAGCTGGAGCAGTTAGCCAGGCATCCTTTTCTTTCAAAGCAGTCTCAAGGCATTCTGTGTATAGCTTCACGTGTTCTTTCCATGTTAGCTAATTGGGCTTCCTTACAGCTTGGTGGCCTCTGAAGGTTTGGCCTGCTTATGTGGTGCCTGAATGCTTCAAGAGTTAGAATCCCAGTGGATCAGGCAGAAAAGCAGCATCACTAGGACCTGGTCTCAGAAATCACACAGCCTCCTTCCACCCCATTCTATCGGTTATAGCCAAGCCAGGCGTCCTCACTGATGGCAGAATATCTAAGTCACATTCTAGAAGCAAATAAGATGGAGATATTGTTGTGGTTATATTTGGAAAATCTACCTCGCAGGCAAATGAAAACCAGACATACCATAAAGTGCTGCATGCATATTACTGGTATGGACATGACCGATATTATTGCCATTCTGCTCCTGTAAACCAGCTGCCGTTGCATGGCTGAGGCCAAAAGCAATTCTCCGTGACCACTTAGATTTTGCATCACTGCCTCCCAATTCAAAGGTTGGGTCAAATTCATTTGCTTAATTTCAGATGCTCATGTACTAGTGTAAGAGAGGCTAAAAGTGATTATCTTATCTTTAGCCTTCAATGGTGCAGGGTGATTTATAACTCCCACCAGTTCCAAGACTCATTGCATAATGAGTCATTGCATAGGTCATTTACTAAATATTCTCGAATAAAGAGGGATTCCTAGGTGGGGTAACCAAGAAAATTTCTATTTCACAAAGTACATTATTCTTATAGTAAATGGACACAGAAAAAGGTGGGGTGTATAAGTCTGGCAGTGGTTTATGAAAATTCAAATACAACATCTCTATGAGGTAGGCCTGAGCAAATTATATATAGCTACATATATACTGTTATATATATAGTTATACACACATATTATTTTAACACAACCTCTAAAAAATATTGATATAGAGTTTTTAAATTTTCCAAATGACTTAAAGAAGAAAGTCAGAAAATATAGAAAAGTTTTGCCCTAACATAATCAGTGAATTTGTCTAAATTATCAGCACAAAATCAAGTTTAAGTAAAAAATCTACTAGTTTTTTCTTGATAATTTATAGAGTACATACACATACATATTTACTTATTTGTATAAATGTATATTTACATGTAGAAATGTAGACTATTTTTATATCCTCAGTATTATTTAACTGCTTCTAAAATATTCACATAAGGATGTCTATGGAATAAATCTATAAATAAAATGTCACACACAATAACACAAAATTTAATACAGATAGACCATTCTTTCTGTTCTAGCTTACTCTGTTATGAATGCTGTTTCAACTACTTATGCCATTACTTTAAAAACTGTTTATTAGTAATTATATTTCTAACTACACTGAGCCTATTAAACTATTTAAAAAAAACAGAAATAACACTGCTTCCTGAATTAAGGTTTTTTTTTAATCTTTAAATTCCAATAAAACAATTTTTAAACAAATTCTTGCTATCTTGTGAAAATCATTTATGTTAGCTCATCTTTAAGTGGTCCTAAGCTACTGTTTGGTAGTTGGATCTTTGAAGTGTTCATAAATCTTTAGATTAATGATGAATGCTATAAGGCAAGCTTGTGAATGCAACATTCTGTTCCTCACTTTCTGTGAAAAATCATTTTTCTGCTATACTTTCAAAATCTATTTTTAAGATTTCCCATTGTACACATCCACATAGCTAATCACTTATAATAATGACTGCTTCTGAACGTTTAACCTGCTGACATACTGATGCATCTTAACACAATAAGATGGCAAAACTCCTTGACCTAGAATCGTTTAATGATTTACACAGAAATACATACGCATACACATGTCCCCAGTGAGCTGTGTAAACTCAAATAAGGGTAGGGACCGTGGTTGTTCTGTTTATCACATATGTAAATTTTTTTCACACTCCCTCGAACAAAGAAGGCACTCCAAAATTATTTCTTGAATTAATGACTAGATAAATTAAAGATCAATTAAGTGACAAGACTATAGAGCTAGGGGCATGATTGCTCTCTTGAGACTTTCAAATTACCAAGTTCTACTTTTCCTTTTTAAAGCTGCATCAAAGCTTTCAAGCTAAAATTTTAATTCTGTGGTTCAAACCCAAAACCCGGCCATCCGTTCTGAAGTTTATACAACTTGGGAAGGGAAAGTACACAAAGCATGTTTCCTCCTGGCCTAAATATTCTGATGTCTGTATTTCTTATCCTTTGCCCATCCTACACACCCCTCCCATAGACTATCCTGCTCTTTGCTCAGGCTTCCCCAATTCAATAAATGGCAAACCTATCCTTAAAGAGGTCCTTCCTGATTGCTCTTTAATCTCTCAGAAAACCTACCTGGTAGATTTCTAAAACATAGGTCCATAACACCCCCACTTACACATGATTTTTTACTGCCACAACCCTGGTCTGAGTCAACATTGTTTCTCACCTAGATTGCTGCACTAAACCCAGCATGTCTCCTTTCTGTTCCCTTTACCCCAACCAAACTATTCTTCATAGTTCGATCCCAGGACCCTGAGATCATGACCTGAGCCGAAGTCAGATGCTTACCTGACTGAACCACCCAGGCGTCCCAGGATGACCTTTGTAAAACATGTGTCAGAGCATACTGAACTTCTAATTCTCTCAGTAATTTATCTCATAATATTAAGGATAAAGCCAAGGTCTTTCTGACAGTCTCCTAGACCTTCTGTGATCTGGCCCCATTTATGCCCCACTTCACTTCCCAAGTTCTTCAAATGTCATCTTTCAAGGATGACTGCCCCAGCTACTCTGCTGAATATGGCATACTTTGCCTGACATATTGTTTATTTTCTTTGCTTTATCTCTCTCTTAACATTCCTACCACCTAGCAGCCATTATATTTTAATAATTTGATATTTTATTTATATTGTACTAAAATCTATGCTCCACGAAGGCAGGGTTTTTGGTTTATTTTCCTGACTGAATTTCAACACCTAAATAGTGGAGACAGTCAAGAAATCTTTGGTGCATAAATGAATGAGTGTTCTAGTTCACCAGCATCTCTCTTCACCTTCGGTGACTTCTTTCTGTGTCTTCCCTTCATGAGGTTTAACAGAGGTTAAAATGAACAAGAACAGAATCCTCTGAGAACGCAAGTCATATCACTGTTTTTCTATTACTCTAATTTCCATAAGTCATGAGAGAGATCTGGACACCAAATTAATAATGGCTAATATAGTTATTAAGCATTTTTAGGCGGTAGGAAGCCACATTGTGACATCCCTTATATTAGCTTAAAATGTCTATAAACCTACATAAACCCAATGAGGTAGCTGCTTTAATTATTCCAGTTTCATAAGTAAAGCCAAGTCTGAAAATGGTTAGGTAACCTACACAAAGTCATATAATCTGTGTGTTTGGATCTGAAGAGTCCAACTGTAGAGCTTTTATTTTTCAATTCAATACTGTAGCATCCTCTCACTGCTCCAACCTGCTGTGCTCTGGTCATTAAGCAAACACTCTTTTGTTCTGTCTTTCCGGTTTCTGTTCTCCTTTCTTATGGGTTACTATGGTTTCCTTGGCTTCCTTTGGCTTCCACCATTTAAGAGCTACAATTTTATTTGAGCTTGGAGTAGATATAGGGAAAAAGACAACCTTCAGTTGATTGGATTCTAAGCCCCTTAGTTCTGCCTAATTTAGATGACAGAGACTCCCCTCGTGGTCTACCCAAACCCAACAGAATCTGGTATCAGAATTTGACATGGAAGCCCCAGTCAGCAATAAAGAGTTGATTTGTTAGCTTTGTATTTTATGCATACACTTCCTTCCAGAACTTGTGGGAAAGGGAGATTGGGAATGGAAAGATTTAAAATACTTGGGAATCCAAGTACGTGCTTGATTTGTTCTTCTTGTGAAGTTGTCCAAAAGCTAATAAATAAATAATTGTCCTTAAAAAAATTAAAGCAGAATTAGAAACTGCCAGTTTTAGTGGTTATAATTTCATTCTAGATTATATAAGACTATATATAAGAATAGCAGCACATTTTACCCAATGAAACAGTAGTGACCGCAGTACTAGTGTCTTCTATTCAATGCTGGGTAATTTGTAAATTATAATCATGCAACCAGAAACTTAAAATTGACTATGTATCCTTACCATCACTTTCTATTAGTCCAGGAAATGACATATATGACAGATCATTAAGTAGCGTGGAAAAAATTATTTTACAGGATATTACACAGCTAAAGTTTTGCAGAATGTTCTTTGAAAGATCAAGAACAACACTGATATGTATAGTAGTGGTAATGTTAGTACAGTGATTGTAATAATAAATGTACTTAGCATTGCATAGAATTTAATACATGCCAGGCACCTTCATGTTTCACATTGAGTAACCCATGTAAGAATCAAAGCGATCTATAAGATAGGTCCTTTTACTATCTCCCTTATACAGATGAATAAACGTAGTTATAAAAAACTTACCAAGGTCAAGAGCTAGGGAAAGGAGAAGTCCAGTTTTAAAATGAGACACCCAGCTCCAGAGTCTGTGGTCTTTACCATTACATGACACTACTTTGGCAAAAAAAAAAAAAAAAAAGGTTTATCTAGAACTAAGGAAATAGGATTGGTGAGAATTTAGTAATTTCATCAGAAACCTAGATACAATTGTAGGTGAAGATACTAGAAATTCTCAGCAAGTTATTAAAAAAGATGCAATACAACTAGCCTTTCTCATCTAGATTGTGTGGTTCATGTAGGGGCAGAGCAACCAAAGTTCACATGAATAAGTAACTTAATTAAAAAAATGCACTGCTGAGAAAAATCCATCTTTTCTAGCCATATATAAAAAGAATATTATTTCTTTTCAAAGAATAATTAAAATAAATACCAGAACTTTGCCATACTTTATTATATAATATGTTATGTAAAACTTTGTTGTGTTTTTCAGAAATTGTATCTATATCACTCTATAATGGTTTTGGTCATTTTTAGTTAATCTTGTATTAAATCTAATGTTAATGGACATCATACACCAAAGTTGCTGATTAAATGCATGAAAGGGTACCTAAATGGATTTTTTTAATGTAGAAAATACTGCAAGAAAGCCAATCAAAATGAATGGTGATTTTTAAAAATATTTTATTTATTTTTTGACAGAAAGAGACAGCAAGAGAAGGAACACAAGCAGGGGCAGTGGGAGAGGGAGAAGCAGGCTTCCCGCGGAGCAGGGAGCCCGAGGCAGGGCTCGATCCCAGGACCCTGGGATCATAACTTGAGCCAAAGGTAGACGCTTAACAACTGAGCCA